CGGAGCCGTCAGGACCAGCTTGCTGGCACCGGCACGCGGGTGGGAAAACTTCAGGGGTTTAATGAGCAGATTTAATGCAGCGTCCTGCTGTTTCAGGCACATTTCCATATCGATCCTTAATCTATTTTCACAGTTGCTTTTGGAGGTGGTGGGTATTTGTCTGTCTGCGACGGTTCCAGCACAACTGCATCCCAGCTCCTCCCGGCATGGGAGCATTTGTGCTTGCCAAGGCAGGGATTTGCCAAGTGGGAATTTGGATCCAGGTCCTGTCTTGGCATGGGGCTGGGGTCTCCCAGCATCCCATCAGCCAGCTTGCCGCTGTCGTGTTGCTGTTTTCCTCCTGGCTCCCTAAAAATAAAGGATGCTCCAAGCTATCACCCGCTCCCGGTGCGCTCCCGAGAGGCGACGGGGACCTGGCAACCCACCTGGCCCTCGTGAAGTTTGCCTGGGGGCTGCACGGTCAGTCCTGCAGCTGTAGCAGCCTCTAATTAACTCAGCCAGTGCAGTTGCCACTGCTAATTAACTCAGCCATTGCCCGGCCACCTTTGCTCAGTTTGGATGTCTCTTCCATAATGCAATTTCCCTCCCTCCTTCTGCAAGGACTTGCCCCCACCATGGTGGGAGCTGCCTCCAAAGCGCACTCATGACATTTGGGGTTTTCTCTTTTCCCTCTTAAAAGTGAAGATGGGGATGGGGAGAGGGGCAGGCCCCCACAGGCTCCAGGGACAAGCCCACTGCTCGTGCAGCCGCAGCCCCTGGCAGTGAGGATGCGGCTGGAGACCCTCAGTCCCTGCCGGGACCCTGCAGCCCCCGGGTTTCTCTCCTCTCCCCATCTCCAGGCAACAGCCCCAGCGTTTTGGGGAGGAGCAGGGCTGCGGGTCAGGCACACTGGGGTCCCCAGCCGGTCCCCAAATGCTGCCCATCCCCTCTCCCCGCTGTGGGGCTGCAGCCGTGCCGTGCCACACAGGGGGCTGCTGTGGGGGCTGGGTGTTGTTGGGGGCTCCTGGGCAGCATCCCTGGAGCCAGCACCCCTCACGGGAGCTGGGTGAGGGGTTTCCCTGGGTAGAACCCGAACGGTGTCAGCGAGCAGCTTTCCATTTGTCAGATTAATGGCAGAGCGAGTTAATCCATGTATCCGATTTAACTGTTAAGGCTTTAATTAACGAGTTAATGCGTGGAAAAGCTGGGAGGGTTGTCGTGCGGTGGCTGACCCCGGGTTACGCTGCCGCCTTCGCGGGCTCAGACCAGGGATGTGCCGGTCACTCCCGGTGTGGTTCACCGACGCTGCGGGGACCCTGTGGAGCAGGGGAACGGCACAACCCCAACTGCACCCGCTCACCAGCTGACCTGAGAGCAGAGCGGGGCAGCAGCCCGGCGGCGGGGGCACCTTGATTTGGGTGGGAGCATCGTCTGTTGCAGGGTGCGGGTTTCGGGGAGCAGTCCGTGCCGGGCAGGTTCCTCTCCCTCCCCTCTGCCTCCAAATGGCCGCTCTCAGGTGGTCGCTGGGGTGGGATCGCGCCAGGGCTGCAGCCAGCGGGGCCGTTGGTGTGTCCATAACGCAGCTCTTAATTGAGGACCATCTGCACTTGGTAATTTAGTTTTTCCTGCATCTGCAAGGTTCCAACTTTATTTATTTGCCATCCTGAGGTCTATTTAACTCGCGAGCATCGTGTTCCTCCAGCAAAGACACTCCAGGCGTTCCGCTGCTGCCCCTGCTAGAGGTATTTTAATAACACTGTCAGAGCCCCAGGAAAAACATAAAAACTGAAATGGCAAAGGGCGACACCAGAGCTGAGTTGCGGGGATGGCTTTCCTGCCCGCTTGTGCGTAGCGGGTGGCCTGCTGCGAGCATCGCCTCTAGCACACGAACCTGTGCAAGATTAGGAACAAACCCTGAAGAGCGCAGCCCTCTCATCGCGAGCAGGCGGCGCATTCCGTGTTTCAGGGCATTGACACGCGTCCTCTTTTGTCTTTGGGTGCTTATTAGTCATGAAACCCCACCAGCTGCGCCTTTGAAGGGCTGGGAGCATGGGATTGAACGGCAGCTCCTTCAGAAATAATAGTAATTGGGAGCTGGAGAGTCTATTACTGCGGTGTGGGGGAGGACTTGGGCATCTGGTTCACGTGGCACCGACGGGAGCCGGGGTGCTGCTGGCGGCAGCCTCTGCTTTGCCCACCCCGCTCCTCCCAACTTCTGCTTGGCTTCTTCACCCGTGGCTGCAGCTGCCCTGTGCTCGGGGGCAGGCAGGGATGCAGGAGGCAGGGATGCAGGCAGGAGCCGCTGCTCCGGGCAGCTCCGCAGGAGCATCTCTGCAAATACTTGCCCTGAAACATCGCTCCGTTCCACAGCAAAACCCCAGGGAATCCAGTTCCTTCCTCAGCACCTGGGTCCACGTGCAGACTTTAATTAGGTTTAAGCATTTCCCCCCCCCATCCCTAAAATGTAGGTCAGTCGTAATTAGTGTGAATCCTGCTGCTGCCAGCTTTGCTTTTAATTAAGCTCCTGAAGTGGAGGTTGATGCATGAGGTGCAGCACTGGAGCTTCAGTTTTTTCGGCTGCTCACCAGATGTATGTGATCACTGCGGTGGGGCTGGGGACGTGTTCTCCTTCCCCCACACTCGGGGTGGCTGGTCCCCCGTGGAGCAGAGCCACACTGGGGACATGGCCACGTGCCCGAGCGCAGCCACCCCTCGGTGCTGGTGCGGCCGTGGAGCTGCGTGGGGAAGAGCACTTGTTTGGTGCAGTTTTTAATGCGAAGCTCCCGGTGTCCTTGTCCCTTGTCGTCATCCATCCCACCAAGCGTCCTCGTCCCCTGCAAGGGCTGCTGGCGCTTGTGCCGAGATCCAGAGAAGCCGGGTGCTCTGGGCCCAACAGGGATGTGCAGAGTGTTTTCCTTCCTCTGCAGCTCCTGGCACGGTGTCCCTGGCATGGTCCCTGGCAGGTGGCATCAGTCCTTGGCATGGTCCCTGGCAGGTGGCATTGCCAGCTGGTTGCCACCGACTGGGGACGGCGTTTGGACGAGCATCGTGCTGGTGCGGAGCCTGGGGCTCCCAGCCCCTGCGGGATGTGCTGGTATCTCTGGTGTGGCACTGGGACTGCGGTAGGAGCGGGGTTTTAAGGCAAACTGGGCGTAGAAAGCAGATCCGCAGAAGATGAATCTGCCCCGTCTCACCCGCGAAAGGGGTGCCCGGCAGCGCAGTTCCCTGTTCCCTGGGATGACGGCGAAGGCGCAGCTCCTCTGCTCGGGTTTTCTTGGCGCCGTTCGCGGTGGCATGGGTTTCCGTGCCCGGGACGGCTCGCCTGGCATGGCCACGCTCGCCCGGGTGCCGGCATGCAGAGGGACCCTGGGTTTTAAGCACTTCGAGTCTTCAGCAGCCTCGACGGCGTGTCCTGGGGAAATCCTCAGCTCTGTGCGTGGGGCACGGTGAGCCGGTCCCGAGCCCTGGGCCAGCTCCCTGAGCCCTTTTGGGCTCCCCAGCCTGGCTGCCTATTTTTACCGCTCCCGGGCTGTGAATCACTCCACTCCCTCATCTCGATCTCTGCCTTTGAAGGTATTTATAAACTGCCAGCATCTCCCCTGTTTTAGCTGACTCTGTAAATTTAGCGCTCGGGCTCACTCCTGCCCTCTCCTCCTCACCCGTATCCTGGCTGTTTGGTGAGCATGGATGTGCAGGAGCCGAGATGCTCCCTCTGCCCTAATTAAAAACTTCAAAACAGCAACGAAGAGGCCCTTTGGCACCATCCAGGTGGGGCGATGCTGGGTGTCAGCATCCTGAGATGCCTGGTGAGCGGTGCGGGATGTGTGGGGATGGCTCTCGGCACGTGTGTGCCGACGTTTGCCTGGGAGGAGTTTGGTGGCACCGGAGCTCGTGGCGTGTCCAGTGCTGGGGGTGAGCTGGGGCAGAGCCCCACACGACAGTCGATGCTGGGGAAGGTGGGGAGCGAGGCTGAGCTGGAGGAGCCTGGCTGGGGACAGGGCAGCCCTGGTTGTCCCACAGCCACGTGCCTGGGGTGGGGAGAGCACCCCACTGCTGCTCCAGAGATAGTGAGAGGGGAGATGGAGATGGGACACCAGGAAGGAATTCTTCCTGGAGAAGGTGGTGGGGCACTGGGACAGGTTGCCCAGAGAAGCTGTGGATGCCCCATCCCTGGAAGTGTCCAAGGCCAGGCTGGATGAGGCTTGGAACAACCTGGTCTAGTGGAAGGTGTCCCTGCCCATGGCAGGGGGGTTGGAACTAGATGATCTTTAAGGTCCGTTCCAATCCAAACCATTCCGTGATTCTATGACATGGGATTTAAGTCGGTCATCACCGGAGCAGCAAAGGGCTGTGCCGCTCCTTGGCCGCGTTTTCAGCACGTCCTACTGATTACCGTGCTAATTACTCTGGATTGAGCAGGCAAATTAATCTCTTTTCTGCTCCTTCCCCCCGGGACTGCTGGATCATTAGGATTTGATTAAAGCTTGGAGAGCCTGGTGCAGCTCTCCAGGCCAGCGGTTCCCCTGGGATGTGGTCAGGATCCATCCCCTGCCCTCCCTGGCTGGCACAGCCGCCCAGAGGGTCACTGATGGGCTCCCACTATGGCCCCTCGCTGCTCCCAGCTCTGGGCAGCCACAAAGAGGTTTCTGTTGGCTTTGGGGAAAATGCCGTGGGGCAGCATGGAGGGGCACTGCCCCCTCACCGCCTCCTTCCCCCCTTTCCTGCCAAAAACAAGCGAAACAGGAAAAAAACCAAACCTGAGAGCAAAACTGGTGCTCACTGGGAGAAAAACGGGCACAAACAGCAGGAAGAGGAGTTATTTTTAAATTGCTGACTGAATATGGAGCAGTTGGCTGTGTCTTTTGAAGGCTGTTAAGATGGGATGCTGGTGCTCATTAATTTATTGCCAGAGGTCTTCCAGCCCAAGCCGCACTCCGTGCTGCATCCGCCTCGCAGACGCCAGGATTGGAGCACCCAAATAGGTGTCGCATACGGCGGATGTGGGGAACAGTCGTCTGGCTCCCGCGGGCACTGGGACCATGGGGATCGGCCCGAGGGTTCAGGTGGAAGGACAGCCCGGGATGGGGGGCTGGGGGGCGTGTGTCTCCCCGGGCTCCTCGGCATCCCGCGGCCGCGCTCGCCCCTCACCGCCCTTTCTCTTCTCTTTCAGAACAAGGTGCTGACGGTGGATGGGGTGAAGGTGAAGCTGCAGGTACGTCCCCGTGACCCTGGCAGCAGCCCCCTCGCCCTCCCTGGGTGTTTGGGCAAAGCCCCTCGGCAGAGGAGCACCCATAAGTGGGTCTCCCATCTCCATCCTTTGCTGTTGTCTCTCCCGCTCCGGGACAGCCTTGTGAGTCCTTCTGGGAGAGGGGCTGTTCTGGCCTCCGTGATCCCCGTCCCAGCCCGCCCACTGCCGCTCGGTGACTGCAGCCGCAGACCGGAGCAGCCCGGGGGGGTTTGCTCGGTGTTTCCAGGCCACTTTGGGAGAGCCAGGGTACGGTGACAGGGATGAAAATCGTCCAAAGGGATCCACATCCTCTGGTTCAGCCTGTCTCCAGCCCTTGGGACACATGGGAAATTTCGCAGCTCCCCGGAGACAGGACCGTTTCTCTGAGCCCTTTGCCCGGAGCTCGATAACGATGTTAGTGCTGCTCTTGCCCCAGCGGCCGCCGGGCGCTCAGCAAACCTACCCCTGGATTAAGAGCGGAGAAAGTAAATCAGCGGGTCCCCATGCTGGATGGATTTTCTGATTAAGGGACACGTTGGGAGGCGCAGGATGGATTTTCCGATTAAGGGACATGTTGGGAGCCCTTTGCCATGCCCTGTCGTCTCCGTGCGCTGAGCAGCGGGGAGGCGCCACTTCAGTATTTGTTGCGAAAGGCTGGAGATGCTTCCTGGGGTGGCACCGTCCCGTTTGGTGTTGGTTTTGGTGCTGGGGGGATCCCTCAGCAGGTCGTGGCTGACCCCTCTGCTCCCGTCTGCCTTCCAGATCTGGGACACGGCCGGGCAGGAGCGCTTCCGCAGCGTCACTCACGCCTACTACCGGGATGCCCACGGTAAGCATGGCCACCGCTGCTTCCTGGGGGTGAGCCCGCTCCCTCTGGCTTTTCAGGACCCCAAGCTGTGAGGCCAGGTGAGTTGGGAATCTCGGGAGCAGTTCCCTGTGGGAAGCAGCCGTCAAGGATGGAGGAGCCTCTGTGTGCCAAGATGGAAACACAGCGTGTCCAAGGCATTCTCGTGTCCAAGGCATTCCCGCAGTGGAGCTAAGCACAGCGCTTTGTATTTTTCTGCAGGGAACGGTGTGGAGCGAGCTCTGAGCTTGGCTGTGCTCCTGCCTGACACCACGGCACCGGCACTAATCACCGTCTCTCTCTCCGCAGCCCTGCTCCTGCTCTACGATGTCACCAACAAAGCGTCGTTCGACAACATCCAGGTACGGCAGCACCCCTGGGGCCCCCCTGCCCATCCCCGTGTGCCACGGGCTGGGTGCCGGTTGCGGATCAGCCCCGGGGAGAGGGGGTACGTCGTGCAGGAGGTGCGTGTCGGTGCGAGCCGTGATCGTTCCCAGAAGGGCTGTGGTTCACCCTGAGCACCTGTCTGAAAGCGGGTCGGCCTGCGGGGACACTGAGGACACCGGGAAGCTTTTCCCTTTCAGAGCAAACAAAGGGGATGACGGATTTATTCAGTAAATTTACACTGCTTGGAATTACAGCACCAGCTGGAGGACCTGCTCCGGTACATGGGCGCAGGCAGCTTTACCGAGCTGTTCCCTTGTCCTCCGGGTCCCGATGGGCTTGGGAGGACCATGTTGCCCCCACCCACCTTTGTGCCAAACCTGGGCAGGGTAGAGGGTCGCAGCCTGCTGTACCCTCCCTGCCCCAGATGGCGGCTTTTATGTGGGTCCCTTGTGCCACCCCCCACGGCTGACCCTGAGCCCCTGCATGGGTGCTCCAGGGGTACTGGGGAGCGGTGTCGGAGCACAGGGCTCATTGGATCCGTCAGCAAATGCTGCCCATGGGCAGGTGGCTGCGAGGTGGGGCAGGAGACCCTGCCCGTCACCCCCCGTCGCCCCTCTGGACCCCTGCGGCTGCCGGGGACCCGCGCTGGCAGAGCCGTGCTGCGAGTCCCCGGATCAATTAGCCCTGGATGAACAGGATGGAATTGCTCATGTCCTGGACACAGAGTACACTGTGTGCGTCTGCGGCGAGCTGGCTGCGCGCCCGCGGAAACATGCACGGGAGGTGCTGTGCCGGCATTAACGCCTCGGGGCGGGGGGCTGTGATCCGTCATGCCAGCTCCTGGGGCGTCCTACAGCGCCCTGACCCTCCCTGATGCCCTGGCTCTGGGTGCCTGGAGCTGTCCCTGCTCTGGAGCATCCTTCCTTGTGCCTGACACCCCTTACGCCCACAGTCCCATGGCAGGAGACAGGGCTTGTCCGTCCACCCTGCGCCCACGGCACTGGCACAGGGAATGCTGCCTGCATCCCATGGGGATGGCCGTGGGAGGGACGGTGGGAAGGAATGGGTGCCCAGGGCGATTGCGAGGAGCTGGAAAGAGGGATGGAGGGGGAGCAGTGCCAGAGGGGAGCTGAAGGGGGTTGTCAGGAATGACCAACATCCCTTGGAGCAACCCATCCATGGAGCTGAGCATCCCGATCCCAGCCGGGGTGTGATGGGGTCCCGGGGCTGCATCTGTGTGCATTGGACTCCTGCTCTTATCCTGATTTATCCCTCATTCTCCTGGCTGGCTGTGGGCCGGTGCAGGATGCTGCTGGGTGAGGAGCGGTGGTGGAGCAGGGATCACCTGGCGCTTGCCACGAGCGCCGGCACTCGGAGCCAGGGCACAGGCTGCGGCAGGCATGCCCGCCCGGGAGGGAGGCTCGCACCATGGGGTCAGGGATTACAGGGAATTAGGACAGGTTTGATTAGATCAGGCTGGATTAGAGGGCAGGGAAGCTGCCCCACGGCTCCGAGGGGCAGGTTCAGGTGCCTGGCGGATGGAGCGTGCTCAGCGTGTGCAGGACACAGGCGTGGGGCACGCCCCGGAGCAAACCCTGGGCCTTATCCTGTCCCAACCAAGGGAGAATTTGGGATAAAGTCCTACGAGTGCCCTGCTGCCCTCATCCTTGAGAATCAGGGCTTGGGCAGCACCTGCAGCGGGGTGACAGGCTTGCTGGGCAAAGCAGGTCCCCCGGGGCTCGGTGGCACCCTGGGGTGCTCGCTCATCCACAGGACTCTCTGGGAAAGGGTGTCTCCAGGGCCTTCTGCTGAACTGTGGGGAAGGAGGCAGCTCCTCTTGCAGGGTGCTGCGGAATCTCAGGGGATGCGTGGGACTGGCTGCTCTGTGCCTGTGGCTCCTGCGCTGCACAGACGAGTTTCTGAGCTGGGCGTTTTGTTTTTGCATCACCTCTTGCCTGTAAAGCCCCTGGTGTTGCTCGGGGATGGCAGCGTTTCCCATGGAGGGTTCCCGGTGCCCAGGACCGGGGCAGTCCCTCATCCCTCCTCTCCCCGGAGCTGTTGCTAACCCCTCTCTCTCTCTCCCCCCAGGCTTGGCTGACAGAGATTCATGAGTACGCGCAGCAAGACGTGGTCCTCATGTTGTTGGGAAACAAGGTGAGCCCGGCCCCACGGCTTCTCCAGAGCCTCCTCGTCCTCTGCCGAGGGTCCCGCGACAGAGCCACGCCGCAGCCGTGGCAGGGGAGCCTGGGAGGGTGAAAGGGGACGTGGGGGTTGTCTACTGCTGACCTTCCAAGTCTTCCCAAATTGCTTTGTGTTCCTGGTGGAACAGGTGGATTCAGCCCAGGACAGAGTGGTGAAAAGGGAAGATGGAGAAAAACTAGCCAAGGTACGTGAGGTGTCTGTCTGCTGCAGCGGGGTCGGTTGTTCAGAGTCACAGAATGGTTTGGGTGGGAAGGGAGCTTAAAGCCCACCCAGTCCCACCCCCTGCCATGGGCAGGGACACCTTCCACTAGACCAGGTTGCTCCAAGCCTCATCCAGTGTGGCCTTGGACACTTCCAGGGATGGGGCATCCACAGCTTCTCTGGGCAACCTGTCCCAGTGCCTCCCCATCCTCTGCGGGAAGAATTCCTTCCTGATGTCCCATCTCCATCTCCCTCTTCCTGTTTAACCCCGTTACTCCTTGTCCTGTCACTCCCTGCCCTTGGAAAAAGCCTCCCCCAGCTTTCTTGTAGCCCCCCCAGGCACTGGAAGGGGCTCTAAGGTCTCCCCGGAGCCTTCCCTTCTCCAGGCTGAACCCCCCAACTCTCTCAACTGTCACATGCTCTGGTTGGGGGGGGTGTGAGTACAACGTGTGCTTGGTGATGTACACCAGTGAGATGGTTGACTGGAGACCAGTCTGACCCAAAACATACCTGGGAGTGCTTTGCTTCCCTTCCCTTTCCTTGCTCCCCTCTTCCTCCTCATCTGCTCTTCTTCCTCAAAGCTTCCACTAACCTTTTTTGCTTCTTTGACCTCAAAAAATAATTTCTGAAATTGGGCAAGGAACGCCTGAACCCTCGCTCAGCTGTTCCTGCCCACCCCAGCAGAGCTCCTCCCAGGGTGGGGTGCACACTCCTGCAGCAGGCACCCATGTCCCACGAAGCTGCGGGGGCTCGGCGCGAGCCGGGACCCCCCGGGAACACCCCGGCGGACGTTTCTGAGCCGGCGTGTCTTGTCCCGCAGGAGTACGGCGTGCCCTTTATGGAGACCAGCGCCAAAAGCGGCCTCAACGTCGAATTAGCGTTCACAGCCATTGCAAAGTAAGCGACTGGTGCGGCAGTCGTGGGGGCCACCTCTCCCGGGGTGGGGGGGACAGCAGTTTGGCAGAGAAAGGCTGACACTGTCACCTTTCCCTTCCCTGGGCTCCCACCCCCAGCTCTCGTGCTTGTTGGCCGTGAGCTGTGAAGTGTCCCCTGGGGAGCTTTAGCGAACCACCCCGTCCGTGCTGAGTTCAGCTGAGCTGGACCGGGCAGCATGGGCAGGCGAGTGATCCGTTTTCCCCCTTCCCGCAGGGAACTGAAGCACAGGTCCATGAAGCTGCCCAACGAGCCCAGATTCAAGCTCCACGACTACGTGAAGAAGGAAGTGAGAGGCTCGGGCTGCTGCAGGTCCTAACGCGCTCGGTGCCTTTAGAGACTCATGCCAAGTGTTCGTGTGCCGCGCTCTCTCCCCGTGGACAGTGTGTGCATGTCTGTCTGTCGTGTCTGTATCTGCCTAAAAGGTGAGCTGAGATCTGGGGAACGGAAGCAGCAGAAGCAGAAAAAAGCGCTGTCGGCCGGGGCGGTCACCAGCCGGGCTGCGGCCGTGTGCCAGGCGCTGCTCCC